TCGGCACTTCGCACAGAACACTCCACTTCCTTAAGGAAAGACTCATATTTTTCCTCTAAACTGAGCACGTAGACTTGTAGAAAGGTCAAAGTATCGCCTGTTGTAACTTCAGTCAGAGGAGTGGAAAGCTTTCCCCGAGAGGCCTCTATTCAATAGTTCTGCCAGCCAGGTTGGATTTTGCTCGGGATACCAACAATGGTCTAATCCTCGATCGTTGAGTCGACATCTCAGCAGAATACGTCCCACCTGCACACGTTCAGAATTCTAGAGCCCTCACGCTTCGCTGACGAGTATAATACGTTCACAGTCAATACTTTGCGGCCGTCAGTCATCGACTAGCTTTAAACATAACATTATTTTTAAAAAGGTACCTTTCGCATCATAAGCAACGGGGAAAAATTTGTAAGACTTGCAGTAGTTCCTTGAGCATGTCAGAGACATTTAATTAATTAACTGTCTTTTAAATAGAGAATGATAACGCTCTGTCAATCAAATAATCGAATATTAACATGCCTTACACAGTTTGACGTTAACAGTATCAATGTTTTTATGATGTGCGATGCTTATTAAATCGCAATGTTGGTGTCATAAACGAAAGTAAAAATCACTGGGGTTTCCTAACTGCTAACCATGAAAAAATACGCTTCCAAATTCTCATGTCGTCTTCAATAGTTCTTCTCTTATTTAGTTTCCTCACAGAGTCGAGTATTATACAAATTTTCAGATTCAGCGATGTCGACACAAAGGATAAGATGTTTCACTGTGGCGCCTCAGGTGGCTTCCGGCTCCCGTTAGACAGAGATGAAACCCTGTGCCATCGGCTGGCGAACGGCCTTTAAATAGGCGCAGCCCGCTAACGCTTTGTCATAGAATGCAATACCATCAAATGTAGGTCACTCATTAGCAAAAGGACTGAAATACATTATCTACAAGAAACCGTTTGCCATACATACAACCTCCGCGTCTAAGCTGCTGAGAACAGACAGCAACCAAGAAGGGGATCGCGCATCTCGAAGAAGAACGTAAGAGTGCATTCTTCATAGCCGCTACGGTGACCATGAAAATTTTCTGGAAACTCAGAAAGTGAAGTTATAGACAAATACACTCTGCCATAGTTGGTGCGCGCATGTGATCCCTTACTTTGCTCATTGCCTGCTCTCAATAAATCCAATCATGGAGTTAAGGCACGGAGGACGGACAAGCTGCCATGAACAGTGAAGGTCAGCTAACGAGAATATGGTAATTAAGATATGACAATCCCCGCTAGCCTTCAAAGGAAGTCCGCCGATGTGAGAAACATATCGATTCTGAACTCAGAGAAAAACGGAGCCCTCTATCTATATTACTTCATGAAACAGCCACAAAGAAATTTTTTCATCATACCGTTTACATCCTATCAACAAAAGATAGCGACTAATCAGAAAATAGAGAGAAAATAATGTCATTAACATTAAATGCGCTTTTCAACACAAAAACTTAGCCTGAACGTTTCGAAATATATTTTACTGTCCTTCTTCAGCAGCACCTGTAAGGATCTTCACATATGTTCTGCATACGGAGCTGAAAAGACTCGCGTAGGTTCTGTTGCAGAAGAAGAGGAAAGTACAGTTCCAAATGTTGAAGCTCAATTGTGTACATCAGCGCGTTAACTCTTGGTTATGCGTGGCGTTAAGAACCTGTGCAAAATTTTTATAGAAATCTATGACTATTTAAGCACGAAAAGACCTTTAATCGTTCGCATCACTCCTCTGAGAGTAGAGAGATGTGGCGAAAATATGGCTAAAATTTACGTCATGTAATCAACGCTCTGAGCAGAAGATGACATCCACCGCTGCTAATTTTCGAAGATACCTTGTGTTGCACACACCTGCGTAACGACCCAAAAATTGGTCAAACGATTTGATAGAAGACAACATATTCAAACGTTATAATTCAATCACCGTCAATAAAAAAATGCATGGCTTCATTCAGACTTCATTAAAAGACCCGACTGCCAGTTTGACAAGCAAAAACGAATGAACGAAAGGCAGCGATGTTCAAGAAGAGCAGAACAACAGGTACCTGGCAAGTTGGTTCCGAAACGAAACAAATTCGTTTACGCACACCCAAAAGTTGATCAGTGCTGGCACGAACAGAAGAAACATATGCAGCTGCAAAAGTCGTATGTCGGGTGCGCCGTGCAAATCGCACGTCTCGTCAGCCAGGTTGTTGCGCAACTGGCAGCTAAAAAACAAGAATCAATGGGCACCGATATATGATATACCTGCGAAACAAGATAAATACAGTATATAGTCGAGGAACGCGTGTTGGCGAGTCGGCAGCGAGAATACGTCGTTCAGTTGCAAAAACCACGAAGCGACCAGCAATGCACTGTGTGAAACCAGCAAAATCCCTGAAAACATTACATTAGTATGCATGCAAATTTTGAGTTACGTTGTCGAATGGTGATTGTGACTCAGTAGACAAAGACCTACAAAGTTTAGACAACGGAAATGAAAACTTGTACTGCGGTCCGTCGCCATTTAGCCGGCGATTGAACTTCAGCAAACTGCGGTGCCGCGTGATCAATCCTGAAAAGTCCAAGGCCAGGCTTAAATGACAAAAGTACGGCGCACCAACACTAATCGCTTACCGCCAAACAGCAAGCAGAAGCATAACAGTAGAATCAGCGACAACGGTACGTGAACAAACCAAAGTAAAAACACCGGGTTCGTGTAACCCATAAAACAAACACCAGATATCCCGTCTGCCTCGACCTGACGAAAAAGCAATTTTGTCGTTTACAATTAGCAACACAAAACGGTATCATTCATTACATTAGGACTCTGAACTGAAAATAATGATTTACTTTTCTATAAGAGCTAAATCTGAATGTAACTTTATGAAATTACAAAGCGTGCTGTTTAGATCAGAGGATCGATCGAATCACTGTCACAATTAACAAAAACAAAATATTACCAATTCTTAACTGTCAGATAAAGTACCTGTTAAATGACAGGCTTGTGACTAGTGCCAACTCAAATTTCTATCTATTAAAGCTACAGTGGTGAAATACTACGGATAGTAAGCCTGTCACCTCTCTTCTGAAATAACCAAAACAAATGCAACGTCTACAGAAAAACTGGAACGCAATGGCTATTCAGAGAAGCTCGTTAAAAAGGTAGCAACGTTCGAAGCCTGAAAGCACGAAGGAAGTACCGCCAGAAAAATCGACAGCAAAACCACTCTCAGTTCCAAAATCCAGCGTCTCTCTGCATGGACCAATATCTGGATTTCTGAAAGTATTAGCTCACTGTCAAGACAAGATAGACATCACAACTCTCTGCTGGTAAGGATAAAAGGTCAGATTCCACCGATAAAAGCAGCGGACGTAATTCACCACATAAACGTTTCGAACTATACCTCTTTGATATGCCGGCATCACACATCGCGGATTGAGCTGATACATGTAACAGACAAGAAACTTCAAAAGTGAGGGAGCGTACGAACAATGATAAGTCAAAAAACGCGAAAAAAAAAGCTAAATTAACTTTAGGGCCAGCTATTTTCAAAAGTCTGAAGTCACTGTAGTGATTTACGCTGAAACAAAATCAGCCAGGCTACGAACTTCTTTGTAGAAATCGCATGGCTAGCCATATTAATTCACAGCAAAAACCTTAACAGAAACTACAATAAAAAATGAAAAAACTAAATAAATCGTCCGTTTAAAATTCTTATCAATTCAGTGTCTAGTGAATAGTTTAATTAATAGAAATTTCGTGAAGTGATTAATTTTTTGCTCTCCATATGGTAATCAGGGAGTAGCATGGTCGATAACTGCGTTATTTTTTATCTGCTGTTCGCGCTTATCGTAAATGGGCGCATTTATCTTCTTCCGCTTAAGATCCTTTGCACTTTCAAGCCTTTTTGACGGTGTGACAGTTTTAACTCAACCTTTTCAACTCAACTAGCATACATATTTACACATAGCCGGCTGGTTTCTCAGAGAGCAGTGAAGAAACTTCATGCTCTCACGGAAATGTGTTGTACCAGCAAGGCGTTAACATTCGAAACTAGTCCGATAGCTTAGAACAAAGAAATCCGAATAGTCAGCTGCCAACACTACAAGAAGTATTGCGCTACTCGCTGGAATGTCCGTTCCTTAACATACGAAGGCAGTTTGAATGTCTGCCGTACGGTCCAGTAAAAACCTGAAGTATTGGCAGTCACGGAAGCTCACTTTCCTGGGAAGGGAACGCTTGATATGCAGGAATCGGTGGTCATTTTGGTGTTACGGCCACAGCCCACTGCGCCGTGCTGGTGTGGGTATCTTCTTGTCCCCTAAGGTAATCGCAGAGTTATTTCTGTAGAACAGACATCGGAGAAGATCCTGTTTTGCGGCGTAAATGTCAAACAGGTGAAGCTGAATATTACAGTCGTCTAAGCTCCGACATTTGTTAAGTGCATTAAGCAGAACTATTTCATACTGAACAAGCAAAGCCCGAAGAAGGCTGCGAGCAACGCCACCAATCCACTGGCTCTTTGGCTGACATTTTAGCGAAGGCTAACCAATTCTTGTTTTCCTATTAGTGCCATACACCTTCCAGAGATATGATAACACATTGCTCCTACCTTTGCAAATGATTACCACGAAAATAATAATAATTAGCATGAAATGACGATTATGTTGATTATTATTTTTTTAAAATTTGCATTTTTGCCCCAGGCGCTTTGCAGCCTAGCAGCAACGATCCCAAGAATCGCTTACCTTAGCTAATG